CGTGGTGTCATCCTAGCTCACAGCAACCTCAAACTCCTGGGCTCAAGCGATCCTCCTGCCTCAGCCTCCCGAGTAGCTGGGACTACAGGCACACGCCACCATGCCAGCTAATTTTTTTCTATATATTTTTAGCTGTCCGATTAATTTCTTTCTATTTTTGGTAGAGATGGGGGTCTCGCTCTTGTTCAGGCTGGTCTCGAACTCCTGAGCTCAAACGATATGCCCGCCTCGGCCTCCCAGAGTGCTAGGATTATAGGCGTGAGCCACGGCGCCTGGCCAATAATTCTTTAATATCACAAAATATCTAGGTAATGTTTAATTTTCCTTGATTATCCCATCATTTTTTAATACAGTGGGTTTTCAAATCTGGATCAACAAGGTCTACACTGGCTTTGGTTGATTCGTCCTTTGAGGTTACTTATAGGTTCCACCTGGCCCCGCTTTTTTCTCTTACCATTTACTGCCCTACATTGCAGACTTCGCTGACTGCACTTCCATGGTGTAATATAACATGTTCCTCTATTCTCTCACCTAATTCAAGTTTAGGATTCAAGAGGTTTCACTTAACTTCTTTGATTTTACACATCTTAGTTCCTAACAATACTAATATCTATTTATCTTCCAAAATAACAAAATCAGAAGCACTATTAACAATGTGATTACTCACAGTAAGAATTCTCTGCAATTCTTCCTACCCGTAGGTGCTATCCCACTGGGGAGGTACAGTCAGATTATGTACTGTGTTTTAAAGTCACCTTAAATCATTCCTCTTTGGGTGGTTAAGCCACCAACTTGACCTATAGTTAGGTTTGTTTCATTTTGCTTCCTATTTTTAGGGATTACTTGTTTATCTATTTGATTAAACTTTTTTTTCTTTTTCTTTGTTTTTAGAGATGGGGTCTTGTTCTGTCACCAGGCTGGAGGGCAGTAGTGTGATCACAGCTCACTGCAACCTCAAACTCTTGAGTTCAAACTATCCTCCTTTTTTTTTGTAGAGACACAGTCTCACTATGTTGCCCAGGTTGGTCTCAAACTCCTGGCCTCAAGCTATCCTCCTACTTCAGCCTCCCAAAGGGCTAGGATTACCGGGGTGAGCCAACATGCCTGGCCTATTTGAGTTTAAATTTTATACATTATTATGCAACAATTTTTTTTTGAGACAGTCTGACTCTGTTCCCCAGCTGGAGTGCAGCGGTGTCATCATAGCTCACTGCAACCTCAACCTCCTGGGCTTAAGCAATCCTCCTGCCTCAGCCTGCCAAGTAGCTGGGACTGCAGGCGCCACCACACCTGCCTAATTCTTCTATTTTTTGTAGAGACCGGGTTGGGGGTGGGGGGTGCTATGTTGTTGCCCACCCCTGGCCTCAAGGGATCCTCCCACCTTGACCTCCCAGAGTGCTAGGATTACAGGTGGTGAGCTACCACACTCGGCCAATTATTATGTAAAATATTTACATACAGTTCCAAAGTTAAAACTGCAAAACAAAGTAAATTAGGAGAAATCTAGCCCTGCCATTATTGGGAACAGGCCTGGTCCCAACAATCCTATGGTGGATCTTCCAAAAGCATACAGGATCAACATGCTACAGTGACGAGTACCAAGTCAGGAGCCAGGAGAGCCGTGCTTGTGTAAGCCACAAGTAACCCCGGAGCCCCAGTCTTCCTGTGCAGCCTCAGGCAAAAACGTCGTCAGCTCTGCCTCCCTCAGGGGATTGTGGGCAAGCTGCTACCCGTGAATACTTACAACCTAGTAAATACATGTGAGGTAATTCCCTATAGTTGCTTGTAAGGTTTAAGAAATGGTTGAAAATGTAAGTGAGTTGCTTAATACTGCAGTTAAAGCCACCTGGAAATGGAAGCAGCATCATCCAATTTCATCAGTGATTTGAAGACTATTCCCTCCTGTTCCAACCTGGTTCGAAGAAACTGTAGCACTAGCAATGTGGCAATCAGGTCCAGGAGACGTTCTCTTCCTTTTACACCTGAAAGACAAAAAAAGTCCTTTATGTCTGCCGGAAACTCTGCATCTCAAACTGTGCCTGTTTATAAAACTCTGTAATACTCTTCAAGATCCTTAATTAGCCTGCTATTTAAATAAAGAATGGAACATGTGCCCATCACATTATCCCGACAGGTGTTAGGAGACTGAGCTGTATCCAGCGTGCCCTCCCTTGCCATTGTCCATAACCAGAGCAGCTGTGCGGTATGATAAAAAAATGCCAATTTCTAGGCTCAGAAGAGTAAACCTAAATATGCCACAGGTAAACAACAGGGATGGCCGATTATGCCAGGCTGTCAAATTATTTCTAGTGATTAGTACCTACAGGTATCCAAATCAAGACATTTTACTGTATTACAACATATCAAAATTGAAAAGCGAATGTTTACATACATTGAACTCAGAAATTAACCCATTTTTATTTTAAAAAATGCAAGTCATCTTTGAAATCATTTTATATGAAAATTCATTTTGAAATATTCTTATTTTTCCAAATGCACATTTCATGAAACTAATTTTATTCTAATTCTCCACATCTATCCATCGTCGTTAGAGCCACAGTGAGGCATGTGACGGCTTCCCAGGTAAGTCATCTTTATTTCCACCAAAGATGTCTGATACCCAGCACTGTTGTATCACTACGACACACAAAACAATGTAGCCACTCACAGTTGTGGTTCTTTGGTTACGAGACATTTTAAGCATACGGAGAAGAGAACAGTATGATTAATACCCCATCCACTGCCTAGCTCATCACTCCGAACATTTTCCTACATCTGCTTCAAAGTCTTTTCTTTAAAAGAAACAAGACATCACAAAGGTGAAGCCTCCCTTGTATAAGTGCCACAATCCGCCCTCCACCCTCAACTCTCAACTTTTCAAAGAAAAACACTATTCTGATTTGGAGATTTACATTTTCATGATGAGTTGTTTCTGAAAGCTGTTTTCAAAAGGCTCGTAAAAGAATATTCAGTGTTTGCAATTTTCAATTCATATTTCCAGGAATACTTAATAAACATGTATTAAATTTCTTTTATATCTTTTTTTAGAATTTCTGTCAGATAAGTTCTCTAAGCATCCCAAATCTGGCACTAATTAAGGCCATTCAGGCTGAGTACCTTCCTTAATTGGCACTTAGTTATTCTGAGAGAACATCTTATAATACTAAATATCTGCAAAGACTGAAATATGTCTCCTTTTCTGGGTGATGGTGTTGGGAAAAAGTGGCTTTGGAAAAAAACTCCAAACCTTGTCAGAATATACAATTACTTTTTTGGGTAAAGACAAAAGGATTTGTGCATAATATAAACACACACCATTAACTTTAAACCACTGAGACAGCTAAAACTGCTCATAAACTGAGAGGGCTTTTATTAAATGACACAATTTTCTTAATACAGGAAAAGGGAATTAAATAAATTTTTAAAAACAATAAAACCAATCTATTATCCCACAAAAGAAAATAAATGGAGACAAAGCAGTTTAATTTACTGGGTTCTTCTGTTTTTGAGTATTACATACAAAATATCAGACTAATTTTTAAATGATATTACTAATAAGCAAATGTAGGCCGGGTGCGGTGGCTCACGACTGTAATCCTAGCTCTCTGGGAGGCCGAGGCAGGCGGATTGTTTGAGCTCAGGAGTTCGAAACCAGCCTGAGCAAGAGCGAGACCCCGTCTCTACTAAAAATAGAAAGAAATTAATTGGACAACGAAAAATATATAGAAAAAATTAGCCGGGCATGGTGGCGCATTCTTGTAGTCCCAGCTACTCGGGAGGCTGAGGCAGGAGGATTGCTTGAGCCCAGGAGTTTGAGGTTGCTGTGAGCTAGGCTGATGCCATGGCACTCTAGCCCGGGCAACAGAGTGAGACTCTGTCTCCAAAATAAATAAATAAATAATAATAATAAGCAAATGTAACTCTATTCAAGAATATGATAAATAATGAATTGATAAAATGTCTAACTAGTGTATCAGAGTCATTTAAAAAATAAAGTCAGTCGGGCATGGTGGTGGGTGCCTGTAGTCCCAGCTACCTGGGAGGCTGAGGCAGGAGGATTGCTTGAGCCCAGGAGTTTGAGGTTGCTGTGAGCTAGGCTGATGCCAGGGCACTCGCCCCAGGCAAGAGAGTGAGACTTTGTCTCAAAAAAATAAATAAATAAATAAATTCAGAAGGAGAAGGAAAGAAAAGAGAAACAAAGAAGAGGATAGAAGACAAAGTTGGGTACAGAGATATAAAACAAGTCAGGGAAAAAAATCAGACAGCTTGAGACTGTACGCGGAGAACAAAAGGCAGAAAAGAACACACATACAGAAAAATAACACGGACAATGAGAACTAAAGTCAAATCTTAAGCCTCCCCGCCGACTGAATGTACTCCCTCTTGGCCAAGAGGACCCTCCAATTGAAGCTGAGTTGCTGGCCATGAGAAGGGAGGTCAGACACACCTGGTTATGCCCGGTCCCTTTTGGAGTTTTTCTTTGTAACAATAAGATACAAAATTATCAACAAGCCTAAGGCCATCAACAAGCCAAAGCTCAGGTCATCTATTTACTTAACAGACCACTTGAGCCTCCCTTTATGTCCTGTGGCTTGTCTCAATTAGCAGACTTCCCTATCCTAACTGAAAACATTCCAAGCCTTTAGACAAAGCTTCATTTCTTTAACCACTTAACAAATCAAAGAATCTTTAAACCCCACCCATAATCTGTAAGCCCTGACTTTGAGATGTTCCACCTTTTCAGGCCAAACCAATGTGGGCCTTCCCTGTATATTGGTTTATGACTTTTGTGTAATTCCTGTCTCTCTGAAATGCATAAAACCAAGCTGTGACCCAGCCAAGGGGAGACCACGTCCTCAGGGCTTCTTGGGCGTGGCCCTCCAGGCTATGATCACACATACTCGGCTTAGAATAAACCTCTTTAAATTATTTAGAGAGTTTGAGGGGTTTTTTTGTTTTGTTTTGTTTTCTGTTAACAATAATATGGAGATATCCAGAGAAACACATAGAAAATCCATGGAAAAGGTGTATCCATAAAGACATCTCATCTATTGACAACTGTGACTCCATTCTCCCTCGTTTTCCTCTTATTTCTCTGGCCATTGCTTCTCAGTCTTTGATGTTTCCTGTCCTGTCCGGTCACTAAACACTGGTGTGCACCAGGGTGGCCCTAAGTGCCTCTGTGCTTTGGCCACCCTCTTTGGGTGATCTCATCCAGAACCTGGCTTGAAACGCAGCAGACAAACTGACGATTCTCCCAGTCTCCTTTAACTCTGATCTCCTCCCTGCGCTCCAGTCTCACATGGCAAAGTATACCTTTCTCTTGAATGTCTAATAGGCAGCTAAACTTTACATGTCCAAATTGTAACTCTATTAGCGTGTCTCCAGGCTCAGTCTGCAGGCGACGCTTTCCCTTGCCACGTGCAAGCCTGAACCCCTCCCCCTCAGCTGCCCACATCCAGCACACAGCCAAAGTCTGATGTTTCTTCCCCAGAAACGTATCTCAAATCTTCCCAAATAAACACTTAAATTAAAAAAAATGACATACTGAGTGGATGCAATAGACTATAATATGTGTGTAGGATATAAATAATCTAACAAACACCTAAGACCAACTACGCATTTATATTTTATTTGTTAAAACTGTGGTAAAATATCTATAACATAAAATTTACCATTTTAACCATGCTTAAGTGTTCAGTGCTAGTCAGTACCTTCACTGTTACACTACCATCGCCACCGTCCATCTCCGTACTCTTTTCACCTTGCAAAACAGAAACTCTGTCCCATTAAACCCTAACTCCCCGTTCCCTCCTCCCTGCAACCTCTATTCTATCGATACTTTCTGTCTCTACGAATTTGACTACTCAGGGTACCTCATGTAAGTAGAATTATACAGTATTTCTTGTGTGTCTGGCTTATTTAATTTAGCATAATGTCCTTAAGGTTCATCCATGCTGTAGCATGTGTCAGAATTTCCTTCCTTTTTAATGCTGAATAATATTCCATTGTATGCATACACCATATTTTGGTTATCCATTCATCTGTTGATGGGCACTTGTGTTGCTTCCACTTTATGGCCATTTCAAATAATGCTGTGTGAACATGGATGTACAAATATCTCTTTCAAGGCCTGGCGCGGTGGCTCACGCCTGTAATCCTAGCTCTCTGGGGGGCCGAGGCCGGCGGATTGTTTGAGCTCAGGAGTTCGAAACCAGCCTGAGCAAGAGCGAGACCCTGTCTCTACTAAAATTAGAAAGAAATTAATTGTACAACTAACA